TGCTTGACCTCTTACTACATTTAATGCTATTACATCTTGGAGAATTACTTGTACCGTAAGTTAAACGAGCTCATTTTTCCAAATATTTTACTCCGATTATTCTCCATAACAGTTCGAACCACTTGAGAAAAAGCACGACTGTTCTTGCTAAAACCTCTGATCCAACTTTTTTACATTTCAGACTCTAAACTCTGAGTCCGGTCTCTACAAATCAGAGGAGTGCCTTTGCAAAGTTACTAAAATAGATGGAAAAATATTCACTCCTGGCGTATGGAGTCGCTTCTTCATCTACGTTGGCAATGGCTTCGTTCGATTCCTCTTGGCTTCAAACAACCATCACAATTTTAAACGGAGCACTGTATGTCCCTTTCATTCTCTTGTTGGTCTCTTAAGCCAATAGCATCATAACTCATATTTAGCAATTCTACATCACAGCCTGGTCGATTTTGTCTCGACGATCCTTCACTAATGAGTGATGTTGATCCCTCCGCTCCTAACAGTCCCTCATCCATGCACATCGTGCTACCATTACGAGGTGTTCAGTGGTCTAGTCTTCGCTACCTTCCGTCTGATTTCCCTACTTGGGGATCCTCGTCTTCCTCTGCCTCCAGGCTTCACCGACTGCCTTCAGAGATGGTTGAGTCTGAAGCAAATGCGGCAAGCGATCTTCATTGCTACTTCTTTGAACACGAGGATAACGGAGGGACTGAAATCACTGTCATCTTCCCCAACAAACAGGCCGCTGTTTCGACACTCAGGTTATGTCAGGTAAAGCTTAAGCATTGCAGGGGTAGAAGTTGAGTTCTGGATCTATGAAGTAATCGAACTATTTGCCCCTGTGCAGCAGTTTGGTGGAGTGTGTAAAGAGAATGATCCACCGGATTCATCGAATCTCTCCTACTCCCTTTCCCTACATACCGGCCTAGCTGCACATCACCCTTCTCACGGTGGCGGTGCCCTTCGTCACACTCGCAAAAGTCTTCCTGACTCGGTCATGCGTCGAAGATTCGCTACCGACTTTAGCCATCAGGAAGGAAAACGTACCGGAGGTAAATTGAATGGTGCGTTGTGAAGTAGTGTCCACATTCCATACATTGTAAGTCTGCTAGATTTTATGAATCTAATGGATCATATTCATGTGCATCTTAGAAGGAATGTCGTATAACAAAAAGGATCATACCTCCACAACCACGGCGGACCGTTCAATTGGCACGGATGACGCCGTTGGAGTGGACGGAACATCACGGTTCCGCTTTCTTTCCTCTGCCGCTGCTCCGTTCTTCAAGGGCATTGTAAATGCTCTCAGCAACTCTCGACCCCCTCCCACTCTTACCACCCCTAGCCCCTCTTCCCCACTCTCCAATCCAGAGGAATTAACTCATCGAATTGCTGCCGTTATTGGCGAACCGCCAGATTTCTCTGACCTCAATAAACCAGGTCCTGTTTTTGGTGCTCCCCTTGAAAGTCAAATTCCTAGTCCTGATTACCCGGTATGTCTAATGAATTATTAGATCGTAGCTCTGCAGTTAAAATGTTTGCCTAAATCAATTTACTATGCAGAAAGTTCCTCTCATTCTACATGCTATGGTGATGGCACTTGAACTCCATGGCTTGCATCACGTCGGTCTGTATCGTGCTCCTGGAAGGCAGAAGGAAATAAATCGTTTCGTTTGCCTCGCCAATTTGGTATGTGCAGAGTTTCCTATGCTGCCCTTTCACGCCTTGAAAATCGTCATAATGAATTTATAACTTCTAGACATCCCTTGATCCCAAAGTGATGCTTCAACTTGACACCTGGAGAGATATTAGAGCCTTGACTGGCGTGATTAAGATTTTCTTCCGTCGTCTTCCCGAGCCCATCTTCGACCCAGGTATATCTATTAATGCACAAAGAAACTCTATTTTTAGTCTTGTGGGGACCACTGGCCTCTATCGTTCCAGAGAGTTCTGAGGAGTATGATAAGGCCTCACTGGCTTATATGCTGCTAGGCATCCTTCCCAAACTCGATAAGGTAAGCAATTCGTGTAGGGTCCATTACAGCATTATTTTTTTAGCGTATTGAATTTAATTTTATGCTCTACCATAGATCAGATCACCATTTTCCCCATCCCCTACCTCACTGAACAGCCCTCATCGGGTTGATAGTGCTAAATATGAAAGGTCGATGACTTCCTGGCCTTTTGCAACGCTGGATTTCCTTTTTGGTCATCTCCGTCGTTTGGTAGCTTTGGAGGAGGCTAATCAATGCTCTTTCGGATGCATTGCCATCTGCTTTGGGCCTTCGCTCTTTCGTGGAGACTCCCCTCTTCAGCCCAAGTTTAACAAGGTCTGGCTATTTTTGTCTCACCATTTCCACCCTTTTTATAGTAGGAAGAGATAGTCGAGAGTAATAGCCTTGTTCCTTATTGCTTAGCTCCTCGAGGTCATGCTACAGCACTGGCCTTGGCTGGTAGCGGGTTTTTCGGAAACCCCTAACGACATCAATGGTACAGATCGCACTTCGTCGCGTCATCCCACCCTGTCCGAGACGGAAGCCTATGTAGAGCACTTTTTCGTCAACGGCACCGACTTCAGTGAGGAGTCTTGCTTCCACTTCCGTCCACTGGAAAATATTAAAAAGGGGGCATTTTTTTCAAACGACCTGACGGAAGGTGTGTCTCCGGCATTCTTTTTCTTTTTGTTTTTTCATTGTATTTGATGTCCATTGTTGGGTATTTGATCCCTTGTAGACGTCCTTATCGCCGTTGAGGACATTTTTGCAAGAGCCGGCGCGCCTGTGAGACATGTTTCCAGAAGTGAGTCTATCAAGAGCATCGACAAAAATTCCGATGAGAGCGGAAGCCTTTTGGACGTAATAATGCGATCTCTTTCTGCCTCTTCGGATCTCGATGATCGGAAGCTAGTAGTCTCTCCCATTTTTGAAGACGGTCCCAATGCGATAGTAGGGGAACAGCGTGACTGTGATCACTTAAGTGCGGCTTCACCCTCCTCATCATCCACACAACGGACAGACTTTTGACCGGCTCCTCTTTTCAAGCAGGCACTGTTGGTTGATGTGTGGGGAAGGATGTGCGTGTGTACATTTGTTTTTTGCAAATTTGATCAGCGCTCGTTGTACATCACAGTTTGCATTATCATGCGTGTATATGAGTCCATTGAATTTTGTCGGTTTGCTTCTTTCCCTTTAATTGTGAGCCTCATTGTTGGCTGAGGCCCCGCGTCTTTGCTCTGCGATGCGCTAATGGTAAGACTAATGCTTGCACTTCTGACAAGGAGTCTTTGCGCCCTATTTTTTTCCCAATTTATAATTGTCGATGAAGTGTGCAAAGAGGTTAAAACAATTGCTCCCGAATCTTCACTCCTCTGAGTTGTCCTGACTATGTTTTGTGTGTGTTTGTGTGTGTGTCATCGCCAGGTTTGTGAGAATGTGAGGATTTGCACACAAACCGTTGTGTAGATGGGGAGGGGGGTGGGGTGGGGGAAGCCAGCATTCCTCACTGGATCACGCGCGTTGGGGTCACAAAAGGCGTCGACATGCCTTTACTCGTCTGACCTCCTCGGATTGACTAATTTCAGTCTAAATTACGTGATTTTTTTTGGACTCCACCAATGCATCTGTTTGTGATATCTTCATTAGCCTTATTTGCTCCTACTTAGGTAACCTAAGTCACGGAGGGGCACTAGCGCTTGACAAGGAGCATAACGGTATAGTCTATGACCTTAACTCTTCGCTTAG